CTGTTTACAACTAGATATATTGTGAATGTGTTTTCTCTTTTACAACAGTTAAAATAATTGCACAGTAGGGAGAAAACAATTACACATATTTATTGAAGAAATACACAATTTCTTTCCAGAGATGTCATTCTCTTTATGCCTTGGAGAAAGGGGGTATCCTCCTCTGACAGTCACAGGAATATAAATTTGCTCTTCACCTTAGCTTAACTTGTTTCTCTGTGGCCATTTCATTGTCAGTCAAGTAATCCACTTTATTTTTCCCATCTCTCCCATTTGCTTCCTCCCCCTTTTCTGCCTGTCTCCCTGGTGCACACCTACTTCATCACTCCTGCAGCCCACACCACTAGCGTCTGCCCTGTCCCCTCGCTCCCCCTACAGACGTGTCCCTTCCTTTTCTTTTCAAGATACTGTCTTAATTGGTTTTTCTCAGCTCTACTCAAAGCTTTATCATCAGCCCACATAGGAGTAATCTTTAATAATCTTAAGACAGTATTCAGTGGTTTCAAGGAAAATATCAATAAGCCCTTGGAGAGCTGCACGTATCAAGAAATGTAACACTTGGGCACAATGTAGATATGGTGAACTACTTTTTAGTAGTTGTTTTTGGATATGGCAGGACAGAGAAAGCAGCTGGTACTTCAAGGAAATGTTAGGGACCTATTCACTACTATGGAAATCTATTCACTGTTTCAAGGCAACTAACAAATGATTAGGACATCTGAGCGACAGCCTTCACAGGTCGGGATGTTTGCCTGACAATGGTGCCTGCAAACATCCATTAATGGAAACTTTGTACAGCGAGGCAGAAGCCAGCTAGCATCAGAGGGGTGCATGCGGACAGTGGTAATTCTGGCGTCCTGGAAGCTGCGAGGTGCTCGTCCATCACATGGCCACCTGGAAGGCAGGGACACTCAGTCATTAAAAGAAATCCCTCTGGCAGCTGATTCTGCTGCCACACATGTGGCACATCTGCACCAGCCACAATTAGTCTGGGGACCAACATTTGTACTTAGGGGACCAACACTAGCCTCAATTACATAGAATTCAGACTCCCCTAAAAATACACTTCCAAAGTTGCCATGGGCATACTGCTAACTTGGTCTTCCCTAGATATGTGCTCACACCTGATCATCTACCCCAGCCAGTGACACCTTCGATTGCAGGGGTGCAGCAGAATGTGGTTCGGCTCTGATGATAAGGACACAGCACATTTTAGGCTTTCAGCAAGAAAACATGGTCCCCACCCTTCTACACCAAATGCCTATGCTGGGCCTGCTACCCAGGATGCAAATGGGAAAGATGCGATCCTGGTGTGGGTTGGGTGGCAGTTCCATCTTGTACTCAAGTGGAGCACTTGCTTTCATGTATTTTGTGGACTTGAACATTTTCAATTTCTAACATCCACAGGGGAAGAACTAATGAGAAGCCTCTGCACTTGGGTGGACCTATAAATCTGGCTCAGCTCGGGGTGGAAGGAGAAGTCTCTTCTCCTGTTCTCTGCCCCTTCTTGTCACTGCTTTCCTCAAATCAACAGACATCAGTAAGGTAAAAGGGTTCTGAGCTCAGTCACCGGGTGATGATCTGTCTGGGGAAGGAGGGGCAGGGGAGGAGGGGTCTGCTCAGGGCCTTTTCAAACCTATAAAGCAGCTCCTAAGGGACGGGAGTGGGGTCGGGCCTCTGGCGAAATGTAAGGCCACCAGTTGGAGGTGGGTACCGCTGATCTGCTGTGGGGTGGGTGCTAACCGAGCTGCCCCGGAGCCTGCCTGAGACTCCCTGTCCAAGGAAGGGAACTCCAGGGAGCATCTCTCTGTGTTTAAGAGGCTAAGCCTTCTCGTTTCTTTTCCTAGATAGACGTTCACATACTACAAAATGCCTAACAGACCTGAAATAACTCTCCATCTGAAAGCGGCATGGCCGCTGACCCTTCTGAGGGAGTAAACATCAAGGGTGCCACGGTGACCATCCCATGTGGGGTCCTTGGTGCTTTCATAAGCAGAACTTGGGCTGCTGGGATCTAGCAAGTCATGAGGTAAGAGGAGAGACCCTTTTAACTAAGTGCCAACCATTAGCTTGCAAGGGCAGGAGGGGAGTGTCCGCTTACCACAGCCCGGCAGAAATGTCTGAGGAAGGCAGCGAAGCCAGCCGCGCCAGCACTTACACATGGAACACTTCCTGGGCAGCCAGGTGTCGTGGGGCACAGACCCGCAGTTCCTGGCAGTGAGCAGATCAGGTGATGCACATGTGCTCTAAGTCCCCACATCTCTTGCCCTCTCCTCCCTCCACCCCCTGAATGGCTTACTCTTTGCGCAGGTCATGCTCACAGTTCCGCCCATAGAAGGTGGGGGGGCAGGCACAAAAGGAGCCCAGCATGCAAGTCCCCCCATTCAGACAGCAGGTCTTGTTTAGCTGCCTGCCTGAAATGTAAGAGGCGGGGGGACTGAGAAGCTGAGCTCCTGTAAGCAAAGGTCAATACAGCGCTACAGACCTCATCTTCCCAGAGTGTGTGTAAATGTCTAGAAACATAACCTTCACAGAGTAAGACTCTGTTGTTCAGTGCTCCTGTTGCTACTTGGGCCTCTGAGCAGAGTAATCTTTTTCACACGCAGGCCAGTGATGGTTCCTAAAGCCCTGGCATGAAGTGTCATCAGGCGAGGGACACTGGGCTCCAGGGAGGTGAGTACCGGATGCATCTCCCCTCCACAACGCAACCCAGCCCGACCCAGCTCAGCTGCCAGAATTAGGTGGCCACTCTTTCAGGTGAAAGAGTCACTAACATACTTGGGACACACAGGAGGAACTGGGGAGTGACGCATGCGTCAGCTCTAAGGCAGGTAGGGCTTACTGTCCTGGACTCCCGTGGACGGCACCAACTGGGAAGGTCGATGGTGAGCCGCGGTTTCCTCCAGGGTCGGAAGGCTGCCGCCACCTCTGACGGGAGGCCGTGCAAGTTCACGGTGGCCCAGCCCTGGAGGGCAAAATCAACTCGGTATTTCAGGCCAATGAAATTGCTACAGATCAAAAGAATAAAAAGTCTCTCACCAGCGGCCACTTGAAATTCAAAAGCCTTGGAAATGGCCACGATCAAAATCACACTAGAAAAGGAAATCAGACAGTGGTTAGTTAGCAAGACAAAGCAAATAAAACCCTTTGAATGAGCACCTGGGTCTTTTCCTCACAAGGACAAGACCACCACAGAGCACTAGGGGGAGATTGGAGACCTCCACCTTCCTTTTTTTCTACTTCCTTTGTAAATGGCTAATTCATGTATGTAACAACAAAAAGAAAAGCAATGAGGAAAAAGGCTACCTAATATCCAACTCTTTTCAATATCTACTGTTACTTCGTAGGCTTTGGCCTCATATACACATTAATTTTAAGTAGGTATAAATCTTGTATTTTTCTATTTCAGCTAGCATACATTTTTCTCCAGCTGCTTCCAAAGAATTTAAAAGTGATTGCAAGACATTCTATGTAGATGATGAATCACATTTTACCAACAATTTCATTTAAATAAGTAATTTAAGAAATTTTCAGGTTAAAAAAAATTCCCATTATTCTTACTGGTTTTACAGGTAAGGTATCGATCTGTTTATACCTTTAAACTTCTTATATTTAAACCACATAATTCGGCTTAATACTGATCTTTTCTTACACAAGAATAGGAAAACACCTGTCATTTCAGAGGCAGAGCCCGTTAACTGGATGGAAACGTTAAAAGCCAATGGCAAAGATGGGTGTAACTAGGTGTGAAGTTCCAGGCTCAGGAAAAAGAGCAGCACTGCTGGCAGCCTTTTAAGGTCTGAGCAAGATGAAATCAGGCAACAGTGAGATGTAGAACACTCTCTCCTAAGCTGGCAACCTCTTAGTAATCAGAAGTTCACATTCAAGATTGGTTCCTACCTGGAAGAGAAGCGCTCCATCTTCCTGCAGTCCATAATAGCGCC